ATCTACGACGACGATAACCGGGAAGACTCAGCTCTTAGCAGCTTTTCTAGAGGTATCTTTGTTAGAGATCGCTTAAGCCCAGCTATACAGGACGCCCAGAACGCTCCTAGAGTAAATTACATAAGTCGTTAGCGTGTATTTACTAGAAGGGAGGCTCTCAGCCGCTAGGAGACTTCAGCGCAGCACTCTAAGAAGGTTACCTTAGCTACTATTATAAGCTAGGCAGAAGCTCGAATCGCGGAGCAGCTACTACTAGTGTATACAATTACAAGACTTACCGCATTAATATACTTCTAGAAGCAACAAAAGCAATTATACTAGGTACAATCTCTTAGCAAAGGAGACAACTATGCGTTTAACTAGTTCCTAGAGCTTCTGCACAAGAAGAGAGAGGAGAGAGACCGAGCTAGGGGATCTCTAAAGGCGATATAGGTTGACTTTGACCTGCACGTAGAGCCAGCAGACCGCAGCTTTAGCGTAGGGCGTTAAGGTAATCTCTTTAGTACTGGCCGCAACCTAACTAAGCGTTAGCTGCTTTAATTACTAACTACTGCAGCTAAGCTTCTTGCTACAGAAGGGCAGGTTACAGAAGTAATTGCGATGTAGAGATGTAAGCATTAGGGCTGTTCGAATTATCCCTATACTTGCTGGGTTGCTGGTCTTAAACCCGATGAAAGAGGCCCTGGAAGAGTAGAGAACTATTACCTAGTACCTAAAGGAGTACTTAATATATAGAATTAGGAGATTTAAAGAGGTGTTTCTACAGCACAAGACCCGTTAGAGAACCTTAGGACTCTCCTCCGTTAAGAGAGAGAGCGTCGAAGAAGTAGAAGGAGAGATAATAACAACAACACAGAGATCCTAAGTAAAGTAAGTTTAATATTAAGAGAGCTTACGAGACTCTACGGCGCTAAAGCCCAGGCAGACCTTGCTGCCGCTGCTCTACCAGCTGAATACGTACCGTTTAGAGGCTCTTATTTCTCTCTTCGCGTTGCCTAGGCCTTCTTCTAGTAGTAGTACAACTATAAGGAGAAGGAGGATATTAAAGACCGTATCGCTTTAATTAGAAACTAAGCTGTAGAGGAGAAGATCTTAGTTAACGACCTCCGTGGGTTAACTGTAAGGGACTGGAATCGCAAGTTCCAGCAACCCCTAGCGTGTCTCCTTCAAATAAGGCAGCAATTAGAGGTCTTTGTTAAGGAACTGCTGTAGGAGACGTATATAAACGATGCTAGAGGCTAGGATTATAGTGTATTTAAGCCTAAGGTGTTAGAGCAGCTTGCCCAGGAAGCTAGTCTCTTTATTTTAGACTTAACATAAAGTTTAGGGGCTTTTCTCGCAAAATAGCGTTAGTTTTACGCATTCTACTTATGCAAATCTTAAGATTTTAGTCCTAGATTTAAGGCGCTAAGTAATAACATATTCCTTATAAAGAATCCTGACTTTAGAAGCGATTAGATACTATTAAGGGGTCGAAGTACCCGCCAAGGCGTTAGTTTGCAACCCTTATTTTATGCCTTTCTTTTTATTTCTGCCTCTAGAATTAGTATATAGCATACGCTAAACAAGATCCCTATCTTAGAATTATATATTTGTATGTAGTTGTAGAGATGTATGCCGTCGCAGAGGTAAACTTATAGGAAGCCTAATGCAGGGTGTTACGGGGTCGGCAGGCAGGGAAGATAGGTGCACGTGATTAGTATATTCACTACGATATCGCTAACAGTACAGGGTTAGGCTAAGACAAGGACGTAGCTCAAGGAGCGTACGACAGGGCGAGTTCGCACAGGAATTTTAGCGATCGCGCAGCTGCTCGCTTAGCAGCTTAGCGCGCTCTAATAGGCTATCTAGGTTAGCGCCGTAACACAGGGGCTCCTTGCCGCTCTTCTCTTAATCCTTACTGCAGCTCTACTATTACGCTGTATATATTAAAACTAAGTTAAAGTGTTGTAGATTTAGGTATAGCGAAAAAGATAGCGCTGTTAGATATACAGGGTTTAACGTAGTTGTAGAGGTATAGGCCGTTAGGCGGGTAAATTAGGTGGCTTAGATAGTTGCGGAGTTTCTCAGGGGTCTTGACGCGGAGTCGCAATGACGAGGTTACAGCTAGCTTAACGCTTAGGCCTACGATAGCGTTCAGCCTAGCTGCTCTAAATACCCCTCTGTTTTTCTCTACAACTTTACAACTACGCAATTTTTTTTTAATTCTAAGAGCAGGAGCTTTCTTAGCAGGTACGATTTAATTAGCTCTACCTCTTAAACATAAATATCTGCTGTAGTAAAGGTACAGAATTAAGCACTGCAGGGCAGAACTTTTAAACTTTAGGAGGCAATCATCCGGCTTACCCATCCCCCTCCTTTTAGTACCTACAACGCTTATACATGCTAGAAAAGTTAGTATTAACGCAGCAGCGGTATATACCGTACTCTAGAAACTCCTTAAAGCTCTTAAACGACTCTATAATGCCGTAGTTCCTCCGTACCCAGCTCTTTAGCACCTAAAAAGACTACTTAATAGGGTTGTAATTAGGTAAGTAAGGAGGCAACAGGACAAGTCGAACGCCTGCTGCATCACAGAGAGCGTGTACTCGAGGAGACCGGTAGCTTAAAGCGTTGTCCATAATAATAATTGATCGCGGGCTAGGCTAGGGGTTGCACAAAGGGAGAACTTAGTGCTCCATAAACGCTTTAAAGAGCTGCTTTGTTAGCCCTCCCTGCAGTATTTCCCACGCAAAGTAACTATTCACGTCCATTACTAGTATCACCAAAACTCTCCTTGTTCGATTGCCAAAGTATAGAGCAATTGCGGCAGTTCCTAAGGGCGCCCAGGCTCTTTTCCTGTCAGCAGTTCGCTTATTTGCTGCACTCTCATCAAGTGCTACAATCTAAATAGGATCCCATCCTCTCGTTGATAGGTAGAAAACCTCTCGTAGCAGCTCATTACGGTCCTTAGTGTACTTTGAAGCTACTTTTCGACTCCATTAGGCCCGGCAGAGGTAATCAAAGACGGTACGCTCGGCGATAACAAGGTTGTACTCGTCGAATAGGAACTCAACCATCTCGTCCAAATAGGCCGTCGGCTTCTCACGGAGGTACTCTAGCAGGGCCTATCTTATAGCATTAGTACGCTGGTTTGCAGTCGTCGTCTCTCCTCATACATTCTCCTGAGCCTTCACCATCAATCGAGGCCTCCCTTGAACGGTTGAATTAGGAGGATAAGGGCTTCCGTATAGGTCAAGACTGAGCTCAATACGCTTCACTGTATTGCGGCCAACACTACAGTTCCTAGCGATCCATTTAAATAGACGTTGATAAGAAAGATCAAGGAGAACAGTCTGCAAAAGGCCTGCTTCAAGCTTTCGACCCATAACAAGAGGTTTACAAGTGAACAAGATGTAATTTACAGCTCAAAATCCCGATCCTTGACCTCTATATACCCCTATACTACTCTAATACTAATCCCAGAACGTCACCTTGACGATCTCTCCCAGATCCGGGGGGGTCCATATGTTTTCGCAGGCACCGATAGTAGCAGTGCAGGCGTCTGCTCTTTTAGAGTTACAAAACAATAGTAACGCTGCAGAAAAAGCAGCAGAGAGAGCAGCAGCTAAATCAGCAGCTCAAACTCTTTAGTCTATGTGTACAGAGTGGCAATTGTAACTAGGTTGAATTAATTACGTTGATTTTTGATAGGTGGCCGAGTTCTAGGCGGGTGGCCAGCTTCGGTGGCCGCTAGCTTAGCTAGGGTTCTGAAGGTCGTTCAGGGGGCGGCGGCTCGGGATAACCTTCTGCCGAGCTCGCTTGCACAGAATCCGGGTGCTCAGGGGGGCACCCGGAATCTGTGGACAGTGCGCCTCGCGCACGTGACCGAGATATCATCGAGGACTCACCAACTAGGCTCCAGCCCATCACACACATGTCTTCTCTCGTCTATATCTATCACGCTGTACGTGCTGTATTACCTCCTCCTTGACCTCTTGTGTCTGTTTGAGCGGGCGGCTAGAGCGAGCGGAGTCTTGAACGTGGTGCGGCAGGATCTTAAGAGGCAGGTCGTTAGGCTTAAAGCTAGCAGCGATAGCTCGGCTGTGTATACGATTAACTGTACGTGGATTGACACCTGTTAGGTAAGAGACTTAAGATGTAGTTTTACTAATAGGAGGAGACTCTAAAGTAATCACACAAGTGCGTGTATAGATATCAGTATTTGGAGCCATAGTTGACAAGTAGATACTGTCGATCAGATCACTAGCTTCAAGAATTTCAAGGCCAAGAAATCAGGATTCGGTGGCTTGGTGGCGTTCCTTGGCAGACAGAACTTTTGACAGCGACCTCCGTACTGCGGGCTTGAATAGGACACCTTTTGACGAATCAATACACAGTTTGCTTAAGCTAGCATAGCGTTTTTTTTGGGTAGCGAAATTTTGTCAACAGAGAATTTTTATTTTTAGGTATCTCTAGTCCGTGTTGGGGACGCCACTAAAGCATTTATGTTTGAAGTTTGTATTTGTGTGTGTTTGTGCCAAACGTAGTACATAATGCTTTTGTTATAGGAGAGAGCTGGATGTCGGTTAAATGAGTCATGAACCACAGGGACTCCTCGAGTTTCGCCAGGGCATCGGAAACTCCTGGGGTAGGAATCCTTTGACCTTTCTGGAAGGTGGCTGGCGATCGTTGTGTTTCGATTGGCTTGAGTCATTCAATATCTTCTGTACGAAACGATTTTCCAGCTATTTTCCCCTGTAGGAGTTTCCGATCACCTGTCGACCCTCTGTACACGGTATTCATTGACAATCTAAATAACACAAGCCAACTATGTAGCGAAGATCGATACTTCATGGGGCTAGAGAAGGATCCTGACCGTTACATGGGACGCATCCTACGCCCCATCCTACGCCGCATCCCACGGCAGTGTATTTAACAATGAGCCCACTTTATCGCGCCAGTAGGGTCTGAAGTTCGTCTAACGTTCGTCTAACGTTCTGCAAACCTTTATCAACATCATGGGATTGTGGGACGTGGAAGACTATGGCACCATCGCTGATAGGGCTTGCTGGTCTATGTTCGCAGTCACAGTTTGCGAGTAGCCCTCGTATGTTGCGCCGAATGGCAGCTAACTGTCTTGTAGTCTTCGTGGCGTTGAGAGTCGGCACTCGCATATCCAGCAAAGGCGGTGGCCTTGGCATGGACGACTATATCACCGTATTCTGCGTCGTTGTGATGCTCGTCACTTGCATCCTGATCACAATCGGCACCCAGTACGGTCTTGGACGGAGAATGGAGGCCATCGATCCCCCATTGATACCGCGAGCTCTCAAGTGGAATGTAATCATCAGTTCGGTACTGATATGGACGTTTTCGCTACCCAAGTTCGCCATCGTCGCTATTCTCGAGCGCATTCTGAACTACGGCCTCAAGACGACGATACTATTCTGGGGCCTCGCGCTCAGCTCCCAGGCCTGTATATTGGCTACCTCGGTCTGGTGGTACAAGCAATGCGATCCGGTCGAATTCGGCTGGAACAGAACCATACCAGGCGGAAAATGTGCCAGTACCAAGGTCATGTCAGATTTGGGCTATTTCACTTCGGCCTACTCTGCCTTCCTAGATGTATTCTTCGCTGTGTACCCGATTCCATTCATTATGCGCCTCAACATGCCACTCAAGAACCGCATCCTGGTCTCGATCGCGTTGGGCCTCAGTATCCTGGCCTTCATCCTCACCATCTACAAACTCACAATCTTTGGGAAATTTTTGTAGTACTGGCTGAGAACCCGACTTGTGAGTTATTCCCCCCACATGTTTCTCAGCACAGAACTAACTTTGTTAGACCCGGTCCCGCTTCTCGATATACTCGGTCTAGGAGAGGGTTGTATTCTCGTGGTATGCCCCTCTTTGCCGACACTGGGCCCGCTCTTCCGCGCCAGAGGCAAAGTGGGGACTCTCAGTGGCAGTGGCAATGGCAGTGGGACCACCAGCCAGGCACGACGCAGCAGCGCCACCCACCGAGGGCTATCCAGCACCAGCGGAAGATGGGATAAACTTAAAAGGGCATCAGTTGGATGACGAGGAGAGGACACCGAGCTACGCAGGTGAAAGCATCGATGACATCCCGCTCGTTTACCACGGCGCGGGACCAGATCCAAGACACTTGATTTTAAGGTGACCACGAGCGCAAAGGGTGACCGACGGGCGAAGCAATTGACGATCGTGACACGTAGCTTGGGTCAGTGTGGGGACCAGTACTTCATCTAGGCATCTACGCGCGATAGGGCAGCAGGGTCGTGGTGATGATCTGATTGGGCAAGCTTTGGTGTTGTTGAAATGATGTTGTTGGGGTAATGTTATTAAGGTGAGGAACTGTGAAAGGGGCGACTTGAGCGGAACCAAAAGACATTGAATTTCATATTTCCACACAAAGTCTCACTTTCCCTTAGTGAGAACGTTGTTTCGAGTCCTCAATACAGACTATTCAGCAACACCAAAGTTCAACGGCTACAATAGGTACCAACCGGTAGGTCCTGTCAAGGTCGCTCGCACAAGTCCGAGGGGCTGCATGCCAAGCACGACATGCCAAAAGTGGCGTGAGAAGTACGTGAGTGGCCCAACAGGTGGGTCTGCCCCTGAGACATCCTTGCTCACTCAAATTTCGGATACCGTGTCCTCAACTGATCAGTGCGAACCGATTCAACCCGCATAGCATTGAATCGTGCGGCTTGTTCAATGTAATTCGGGACTAATTACTCATCGAGTAGCCGGTGACCAATGTACCGTAAAGTTTGGCCATACCGGTTACATAGGGTCGTTGAGGACAAATTACGTATTAGGAAAAGTACATATAAGAAAAATGGATCTTAGTACGCGCTTATCTGTTACAAGAAATGTACTAACTACTACAGCATTTGAAACCCTCTAGTCAACCGGTAGATATGGCCAGAATTTTATGGTAGATAAGAACATTTCCCTTTGTCAAATAGTAGACCGCGTGTCGTTTCCGTTGTTCCTGCATCTTTCCCCAAAAGTCAATTCCCATTTCCAACATGGCATCAGCAGACCAACTTATCGGAGTCCTGGAGGGCCTCGACGCGAACTCCTTCGTTAACGAAGCAGAGCGCGTCCGTGCCATGGACGCGCTGACCTTGGCCTTAAGCAAAGTACATAAGCCGTGGGACATTGTTTGGCAGCACTGTTGGGTCAACCCGGCCACCAATGCATGCGTCAAGACATTGATTGACGCGGGTGTCTTCAGCAAATGGATCGAGATCGGAGGCGGAGAGAAGACTTGCGCGGAACTGGCCGAGTTAACGGATGTTGATGTAGTGCTTGTTCGTAGGTTACATATCTGCTCTGCTTGACTCATGATGAGCATTCTGACGGCAATGCAGGACGCATGATTCGACAAATTTCTGGGCAGAATCTTGCCATCGAGACCGCCGAGGACACCTATAAGCCTACACCGTGGGTACGCGCTCTCGCTGAGGATCAGGCCCTCGCCAACGTCTATGGTGAATTTTATGGCTTCGTCAATTCCCCCATGTTCAGGACTTTGCCAGCCTACCTCAAGAAGACGGAATACAAGGTCCCTACTAACCCCAACGACTGCAACTGGCAGTTCATGAGAGGCTCAAATGAAAATCTGTTCCAGTCCCTTAGCGCGAACCCTGCCGCCGCAAGGGAATTCAATGATGCCATGGAGAGTCACTCCAAGCATAACTTGACGCCCTGGGTTGATGTTTACCCAACTGAGACTCTTGTGAAAGAGTCCAAGCCTGACCGGCCTCTTGTCGTCGATGTCGGTGGTAGCAAGGGCCACGACCTGACCAAATTCCATCTGCGCCCCCCCTGATATCCCTGAGGGCAGTCTGGTGCTCCAAGACCTGCCGATATTCTCAGAGTTGACTATTGACGACACCATCTCCATCCACCCTCATGACTTTTTTGAACCACAGCCCGTGAAAGGTGCCCGTGTCTACTTCATGCACAACGTGCTGCACGACTGGGAAGACACTCAAGCGAAGCAGATCCTTTCTCACCTGGCCGAAGCTATGGAACCCGGATACTCGAAGCTTCTCATTCACGAAAGCTTGGTTAGCTCTGTGAAGCCGCTCGCTCTGTGACAACGTCCGATATCACCATGATGGCGTGCCTTGGTGCAAAGGGGGAGAGGACGGAGGCTGAGTGGCGGGCACTGGTGGAGAGTGCGGGATTAAAGGTGCTTAACATCTGGAGGCCACCTCACTCTGTAGAAAGTGTTATTGAGGCAGAGCTAGCTTGAATTTTAGAGCGTCCCGTTGTATATGTAACGGGCTGAACGCCCTTCGGTAGAGCTCCTCGATGGAATCTCGGTGATTTGATTTGATTTGATTGATTTGATTAGATCCTATTTGATTGATTTGATTAGATCCTACACGGTTGCAGCCGCGAAAAGCAGCTATGCCCGGCTGACAGGCTTGGCAGACAGCCGACGCGGTGCGGACGTTGATCCGCGCGCCCCACTTCATTCCAAAGAACCATCTGTCCCCAGAGGCCTCCCGTTTCCCTCCCACCACTATCTACATTTGCCTGTCCGCTCATCTAGATTGGCTCTACTAACTGAACACTGTACTTCTAGGCTCGTAGGGGCCCGGTTGCCTCGTGTTCTGCGTCTGCAATACCTTTCAGTCTCCCCCAGCGCTCAGCTATCGTCTTCGCGCCTGCGATCCCCATTTGCCCAAGGATCTGCGTCTGCTCTACATACTCGATGGCTTTGGTGGCTAGCTGTGGCGTGCCTAGGATGGCCCGGATGTCTCGTCCGGACAGGTTGGCAAAATACGGCCCCGGGAGATGCCTGTGCTTGCTGCAGTGGAGAAGGATAGGGACCGTCTGTCGTCTCGCTCCGCAGTCGCAGCGCGGGCTGGTGACGTCTGGCACTCTTCGGGCGAAGAGAAAGTCGTTGAGTCCGATCTTCTCTGTCCGCAGCTGCACCAGCAGCGCGCTCCCCCCAGTGAGCCCCTCGTGGGCCGGGTACTTTCTTGGTGGGCGTTGGAGTTTTCTGTAGGTTGCTGGGCCCCTTTTGGTGTCCTTGCGCCATTTTTGCTATCCATGCCCGTTCGGCGTATGCTGCACCATCTTTTACAGTCGACCTTATAGTGAACAGCTGGGAGGCGCGTCTGCCGGCAAGCTTCTGCGGCCGTCTTCTCCCATCCGGTGGCTTCTTGGCCGCTTTATCGACGGCCCGTTCCCGGGTATGCCGACGTGGGCCGGTATCCATCGGACGATCACTGTCCGTCCGTTGTCTTGGAGCTCGGACCTGTCGCGCGATGTCCGCGAGGATGTAGGCGCCTGATCGTCCCTCCGCCTTGGCGATGGACCAGACGCGGCCTGGTTGTTCGTGTATATGGCGACGTCTCGTCGCGCACCGTTTCGGCTCGCATCCCTTTTTGAGCGATCTGCAGTGCTAAGCTGATGCCTTGTAGTTCTGCTGCATATACCGTCGACTCTATGTCTGAACCCATGTGTACGGATCGCGCCTGTTGTGTGAGCGGACACAGTCCCCGCAGAGCCTATTTCGCCTTCGATGCCGCTGCCATCTGTGAGATGCTAAGGCTGTCTTCCTTTACGTGTTCTTTGTCGTGTCGCGCCCGTGCTTCCTCAGCGGTCGCATCAATGGTGGTTGGGCCCTGTCTCCAGGGCGGCGTGGAGAAGCACGGAATCTGCTCTGCCTGTCGAAGTTTTGGGTTCGCATGCTCGTTATGTCGTTGTAAACCTTCTGCCAGGAGCTGGTATGTCTGCGAGTCTTGTCTGGGACTGTCGGCTGTGCTGTGTTTGTCTGAAATCCTGAGGTGGCTGCGATGTTCTTGCTCGAGGTAGGCGGACGACAGTGTATGAGTTGTGCTTCCATATTTGCTGCTCGATGGGAAGGAGAAATGTCTCTACGTCTAGTGCCGCTCTTGATGTAGCTTTGTATGCCCCGCTGATGACCCTGGCTGCTCTTGCTTGTATGCTCTGCAGTGTGTTGAGCATCCTTTTAGTGTAGAGTTTTCCTTTATGCTAGCGTTTGACCACACTGAGCATGCATACATCATCTGCGGGAGCACTGTGCCTTCGTATATTCCCGAGGTCGTGGAGGCTAGCGCCCCAGTTGGATCCTCCCAGACAGCTGAGCGCATTCACTGTCTTCGCCGCTCCGCCTGATCTCCTCGGTGTGTTGCCCAGTGCAGTTTCGCGTCCATCGTTAAGCCTAGGTATTTGCATGTTGTTTCGGGCCGTATCTCGCCCCCCGCGGTAGAATTAAGGCCTCTGTGTTAATGCGCTTGCGTGATCTTGTAAAGTGGGTGAGTTGGAACTTGTTTGGGGCGAAGACCGATGCGTGTGCTGGCCCATCGTTGTGCTTTCAAGGATTTTGCCCAGTGTCTCACATGTCTGCTCTGTCGTCTGGCCCCACGCAAGGATGCCGACGTCGTCAATGTAGCCTGTGGACATGGCGTCTGGCGCTTGGTTGCATTCATCTATCAGATCGGCGTTGTAAGAGGTAGAGGATAGGCGATAGCGGCGAGCCCTGGGGTATACCCGTGTTGATCTGGTATGCTATCGACCGGAAGCCGTCGATTGCGATGCTGGTGTGTCTGTTGGAGGAAGTTTTCGATCCACTTTACTGTTTTCTCGTCTACTCGTCTCTTCCGCAGATCGTGAAGCAGGCGTGTGTGTGAGACGTTATCGAAGGCTCCGGAGACATCGAGCAGCAAGACTCGCCACCCGTCCAGTGTTGTGGCTCCATGCTTCGTATATCTTATGGGTCACGGCGTGAAGGCGTGCTCAGTCGAGCGCATCTTCCTGCCGCCCATGTGTCGGCGGTAGGACGTGATAGGTCTCGGCTAGGTAGCTGAGTCGCCGTGCTATGACTGCGTCCATGATTTTTCCCGTGGTGTTCATCAATGCGATGGGCCTGTACGACTTCGGTGCCGTGTAGTCGTCTTTGCCCGGCTTGCGTAAGACGACCTAGTCGACTCGCGAAGTGGGCCGGGCAGTATCCTAGGTGCAGGCTCTGGTTGAAGATCCTCGTCAGGTGAGTTGCAAGCTGGGCTAATCCCGCCTGCAGGGCTTTGTTGATGATGCCATCCGGGCCTGGTGCTTTGAGTGGTGATGCTGCCCGTATGGCATCTCTCACCTCTTTCTCTGTCACTGGCGGCATGTCCACCTGATTGTCGTAGTGTGCGTTTCTTTGTCCTCAGATCTGCCCCGTGGTACTGGGAAGAAGGTATCTCGGAAGATGTCTGCTTTCTTCGCCGGATCTGTTACCTCCTGCTGTGTCTCTGGGTGTTGGATGGCAGGTGTGACCACAGGGGCCGGGTTCTCTCGTCTTCGCCCATTTGACGAGTCTCCACAGTGCTTCTGGCGACTTCGCGGCCTGCTCTACCTGTTCTCTGTGAGCGTTTTTAGTGCTTTCTTGATCGTTCTCGCTTTGTGGTTTCTTGCGCACGATAGGCCTCCCCGACTCGCCTGTGTGACGCTGGCTGTGTACTCTCTTGAGTCTCTTTGCTTCTGCGAGCACTGCTCTGCACTCTTCCCACCAGCCTTCCCGATGCGGTCTGACGGCCGTAAGTATGGTATTGCTTTGTCAATGGCCCTTGAATTGCCCCAACGATCTCTTGGGCATACGTGTCAAGCGCTGTCTTATTTTCGGTTCGAAGTGGCGGCAGGGCTTGTTTAACGCTTTGTTATAGACGGGCCCCATCCCAATCGTTTCCAGTCTCGCTTTTTGGGGTTGCATCGAGTTGCTGTATCCCATATCTATCACAGTGCTGATAGGGGTGGTCGAGTCGATCGAGGTCCCGGTCGACCTGGCTTCGAACCACCCGATCGACCAACCCCCCGGTCACCAGACAAAGATCAATGGTTGTGCGTGAGGTTCTTTTTTTCGTACGTGATGGTTCCATGGTAGTGTGCTACCCAGGTTGAAGTCCTCCATGATCGCCAGTAGGTCTGCAGACTCATGGTCGATGTGCCTCACGCCTGTGCCTCCCACATGGGGTGGTGCAAGTTAAAGTCGCGAGCAGGATCTGCTCGCTGGATTGATTGTCGTATTGTGCGGACATCCACTAGTACGGTACTGTCGCTCCTCTGCGCCTCGCTGGGTTATAGACGTTGTGTATGATCACGTTTTGCTCCTCCTGTTGATCGTCGCCAAACTCTACTGTGAGCAGGGAAATGTCTCTGCTGTGCTCCAAACTGCCACTTTTTGTGGTTTTAGTCTCTTGTTGATGAAAAAGCATACCCGGGCGGGTCCTGCCTCGTTTCGCTGGGCAGCAAAAGGGGGAAGACGCGTTTCGCTGGATGGGGTGTCGTCGCCGCGAAGGGGTTTCTCCATGGCTCCTGGATGGCCAGTATGTACCATGGATCCGGGGTCCCGTAGCATGCTCGCCATCACCATGTTTCTTGATTGTGCACGTTGTACTGTAGTATGCTTAGTGTGTTGTGCTTATTCATGCATCATCGTCGGGGTCGATCTCCATGTGGTGACTGCTGTTGTTCTGCATCGCCCGGGGTTTAGTCTAGTCGATTCTAGAGCTCTCCTGCTAGGTATGATCTGTCGATGCGGTCTTTGGCTCGCGTTTGCTGCGTTGATGGATTTTCCTGATCCAACGGGTCGATAGTGGTTCCAGCGTTGGTTCTCTTCTGTCCTCGTCCGGTTTGCGATCGGTTCCTGGTAAGCTGCATCGGCTGCGTAGCTGCCACTGGTTGACTAGTCCTTCTCCTTTGAATCGTAGACGTCGGATATCAGTCTGCACGTTTTGTCCGGCTGTTTGCGAAACGGGGTGGTAGCGCGGTCGCATCTCGTACGCGGTCCTTTCCTTGGCTATCTCGTCTTCCTGGTCGGGCACTGGCGGCTCCACGCTTCGTGCTCGCCGCGGCAGGCGGGACATTTCCTGGTCACGGCTTGTCCGGCCCTCGATGGGCAGTCTCGGGTGTCGTGCTCCTGCGCACAGTGGCCACATGCTGTTGCTGCCTTGCACTGGGTTCCTATGTGGCCGATCTTTGGCATGAAGACTGCTTCACTCGGCACTGTCGCTCGTATCGCTCGCACTGGAAAACCTCACCTTGCCAGATCAGACCTCGTCGATGATCTTGTTGGCGTCTTCTGGTTTGGTGAACTCGATGGTGATAGTTGTCGCCGTCTTGGTGGTAGCATCTCTAGTAAGCCAGCCTTGTGTCTTATCTCCGCCTGGGGTATGAACGGTCGGTTGTCCTGCAGTATCTGGGTCTGATCTCGTCGAGCTTGCTCATGTCCATCGTGCTCGTGCGTATGCCGTGTGCGAGGACGCCGAACGTCGGGATCTGCACGTAGTTCCACTGCCTTGGTGGGCCCAGTCGTCCGCGAACTGTGTAGCCTCGACTTCCTGCTGCTTGCTGTCTTGATGCTCAGGTCTCCGCTCTTCAGCGTTAGATGAGACGATCTTCACGTTGACTATGTTTTCATTGCCACTTTGCCGATGGCACGCTGGACATGCATTTTGAGGTTGCTAGGATTCAAATCCTCAGGCTCTGTACGGGAAGGGGGTCTCTAATATTCATGATGACCTCACGCTGCGTCTGCGCAGATGGCTGTTTGACACTTTGTGCATTGTATGTACCTGCTAACGGGACTCCCGGGTGCCGCCGCAGCTAGCTCATTGGTCCGTTCGCCTGCTCTTGTGGTTTTCTTGTTCCTGATCTCTCGCGCAATCTCCAGCGTCGCTTTACCCACCTCTGTGGCGTCCTTGGCTGCCGCCTCGCCTCTTCTGCCATGTTGCCATTTTGTTGTATCTTTGTTGCGGACTGTTGTACGAGTTCTACGGTGGACTTGAGTTCTTGTTTGATTTGGTGAGGGTTGCGCCGTGCTTCTGTTTTCGCTTTGCCTCGGTCCCCGCGACGTTGGCGCGTCGCTGAGACCACCGAGGTCAGGGAGTGCTCGTCTTCAGTACGAACGTCATGGCCGCGAATGATGTCGCCAACGATGTCTGCCGGCAGAGGCTGCTGGCCTCCGTTGCGCTCGATCAAAGGGTAGCACCTCGCGAAGGAAAGCGCTGAGGTTGGTAGCATGCTCGTTTTTGGGATCGGCCAGGTCGACCTTCGGGGCCACGGTGTCGCCATGGCGCCTCAGCGGGAGTGGGCGCTACTTCTGAGTGCTGGCTAGTCGAAAGCCGTCTCTAGCGGACGTTTTGCGCGCGTTGTACTACGTTAATTCCAAAAAGTGAAATTCTCGCTGTTGTCGTGTTTTCGATGGAATCTCGGTGGACGCGTCCGATGGACGCTCGAATCACCTCGGACCGACGTTTATCCGACAGGTAGATAAGCACCAGCATAGATGGACCGATAGCTCCTCATCGAATATGTCAGCATCTACGCCTACGTGGAGATAGTGCGTTTCATCACTGATTATGTAACATGAGGATATATATTCGCTCTCTTCGATAGACTCTATCAATCAACCAACTACTTCCTCAACCTCCTCCTCATATGTTTACAGAATACAATCACTGTACACCTAGCCTTGCCATCGGCTATTAACTCCTTAGGTGCTCCTAGAGCTAGCCCCTTACATTTTGTATTCGATCCTAATTAATAGAGCCTTATCTTGAGACTCTCTCAATGTGTCGCGCGTCAAAGCTCCTTGACCGCTATTCTATTACGTGCGAGTAGGTTAACCCGCCGCACGGGATTAGTGTTGTTCTATCGCATACAGTGCCCGTGCGCCATGTGAGCCAGTTCGCCGTGTGAGCCACCCCAACAATATTCGAGCGTCTAGAAAGATGAGGCTGTAGAACGCCACACAATGTCAAGCAATAGAGTCTTTATAGATACGAGATGCACCGCGATAGTGGAAGTAGAGGTATATTGCCTTGTAAGACTAGAGACGAACCGCTGTCGAGCCACAACAGCGGTAAGGTAGGCTAATATACTGCGATTGCTTGGCATACCGGCCCGAACGGGCCCGGAGTAACCTGGTGCCTAACACACAATAGCTATTATCGCGAGATTTCTTAGTGTATTAATCTATAAATGTATTAGAAGCTTTCTATCTACTTATATCTCGCTAGTGTCTTAATATTGCGGCTGCGTGCGCTAATTTTTAGTAGGGGAGATGTGATGGGCTGGAGCCCAGTTGGTGTATCCTCGATGATATCTCGGTCACGTGCGCGAGGCGCACTGTCCACAGAATCCAGGTGCCCCTGAGCACCCGGATTCTGTGCGGCTGTAAGGGACGACGCTCAGGGAGCTATCGCACAGGTATACTGGAGTTGTATTCGATAGAGAAGAGAACTACAGGTAGCTAGGGTTCTGAAGGTCGTTCACGGGATAACCTTCTGCCGGGCTCGCTTGCACAGAATCCGGGTGCTCAGGGGGCACCTGGATTCTGTGGACAGTGCGCCTCGCGCACGTGACCGAGATATCATCGAGGATACACCAACTGGGCTCCAGCCCATCACAGCGGCCAATTAGAGCAGGGCGCCACTCTTAGCGTCCCTTATTAGCTAGCGCCGTAACAGGAGCATGCGGTTAAACTCCGCCTGGCTCTATTGTGGTGCATAATACGCATGCAATACTAGATATGTCTCCTCGCGCGCTGCAATCAGGATAATTCTAAGTCGATACCTAGATCTACCAAACCACAGGTAGTTTAGTAATGCCAACATCCATCTCCGGAGATGACCATTGGAGTTCATCAAAAGGAACAGCAAGCTTCAGGTTTGGTAATCTCTGAAAGAGCGTCGCTAAAGTGCACCATAAGTCAGCATACTATTTTAAATGCATCGTAGACATGGAATGGCAGCTTACCAAACACAATTTCTAACTCTCCTCTCGCAAGCGGCTCAGCAACACACCGATGCTCACCCCAACCGTATCCCATCGCTTGATACCAGTCCTCGCCACGTCCGCCTTTTTCTCTGCCTACGAAGCGCAGTATGTCAAATGTGTCCGGGTCCGAGAACACGTCTTCATCCCGACTTGCGGACTGCGTTGCCGCAATAATGCCTTCACCTGCCTTGATCTTGCGGCCAGCGAGCTCGATATCGACTTTTGCGACACGGCGGGTTGCATAAGAGGAACCAGTGTGGTACCTGCAGAGCTCGGATACGAAGGCCGATGCGAGAGAGGGGTCTGCCTTGAGTTTTTTGAGCTGGGATGGGTACTGGAGAAGGGTTGTGACACCTAGGTTGATCATGTTGACCATGGTAGCGTTACCGGCAACCAGCATCAAAAATGCGATAGCCACTGCATCTGAGTGCTTGATGTGAGCGGGCTTGACTTGCTCAGTGGCAAGTTTGCTGATCAGGTCGTCCGTAGGTTCCTTAGAGCGTTGATCAACCAGTTTGCCGATGTAGTCAAGTAGGGTTCTGAGATCGAGTATCAGCATAAAAATGGGCAAGAATCTCGGATCAGCAGAGCTCATCGACCTACTGGTTTGCCTTTGAAGCTTCGGTTGCAGTCGCACTGCCATTACTACGGACCGCAGCTTGAGCCGTCAAAAATTCGAGATCTTCGAGTGGCACCCCGAGAATGCCATAGATAATCTAGACCTTGTTAGTCCTTGCGCACGTTGCGTCTCACACTCACCAAACTTACATAAGATGGCACGGGCAGTGAGAAATTCTCCACCAAATCAACCGGCTCCTTGCAACCGGCTTTGATCATCCTATCCAACAAATCATCCACCGTCTTTTGTATGTGCGGGCGCAGCTTCTCCACAGCGTCCCAAACGAATAACGGCTCCACCATGCTGCGCTGTCGCATATGCTGCGGTGGATCCATGTCTACGAAGGTTGGCTTGTTCTTCGCTGCTTCTTTGCCCCCGGCGCTCATCTCCGGGAAGCCGGGACGCGTACGTTCCTGTTGATCATGAATATTGTTCTATGACCGATACTCAATCTGCTAGACCGGGGTGATGATACCTTCGACAAGCGCTCGTCGGTCAAGACACTGGTGACATCCTTGTGCTTCACTACGAGCCACGGATGGCTTCTGTCCCAAAGTTCGACTCTTGAAACTGGTTCTGTCTTTCTTAACTGCGCATACTCAGTTGGCGGATCCCAAGCCTGTGGTCGGGAGAAAGGAAACTTTGGCAGTACGGCGGCGACCATTTGGGATGTGGATGTACAGAAGGACACGGAAAGGCTAGATGTACTATTTGCGTAAATTGCAAAGTACTTGAGAAGAGTGGTTCTAGGATTCGAACCAACTCTGGGCTGTGTAAAGGAGGGAATACGCAATGACGTGAACATTGTATATCCAGTCCGAATATACTTTACCTCGTTATTATGACTCTCTTGTACCTAGCAGAAGTTGCATCGTACGACTCTTTTGCTCTGTCGAAATTCCCGCCAGGCCTCCCCCGCTCGGATTTGAGTATGTACACATAAGCGGTGGTTCCACTTTATGCAGCCTTGCAGCCCTCCGCATAACTAGTGCGGCATGATAAGCAAGTGGTGTGAGGTGAACAGAGTGGTTCGCAGATTTGTCAACGAACAGAACAGACAAGAGCCTGTCTAACGGTGCAGTTAGTCATAGTTTCTCAAAAGGAGAGTTTGTATTGGTTGATTCAAAATGCACTTCAAGGCGTTTTGTTTAACTAGCAGTTCGGCAGCAATGCTTAGGCGTTTGATGCACATGCGGCCTCGATCCCCCAAAAAGTTAGTTTGCGTCGGCCTAGCGCAGACAGTACGCGCTGCACCCTAGTAACAATTCCTATGTTGAGAGCTAGAATCTGCATAGGTAGATATTGCGTCTGCAAACAACAGGTCTTTGCCGCAGATCCCGTTTCTCCGGAAATTAAGCACGGAATCCCTTGCCCGTGCGCGTAATGCCCGGATTCGCGTAATGCCTAACGAACACCAAACCACTAACGTGTTCGTGCATCTCGTGCCCGGATTCATCTCATGCCCCGCGAACACCGGATTCTGTGGACAGTGCGCCTCGCGCACGTGACCGACATACCATCGAGGAACCAACCGATTGGGCTTCAGCCCGTCATATGTAATAACATGAGGGTTTGAGAATTAAGTAGCAATCCTTAGATTGGAACTTGAGTTGAATACAATGAACTCTTACAGTTCATTGCTTAATGCTATATACTGAGGGTGATAGTTGTGATAGTCGCGAGCGCGACTATCGGTAGTGGTGATAGCTCCGCGCAGAACTATCGCTAGTCCTTAGCGTAGCTATCAGTCACGTGACCTGGCCTTCCTTCGGGTGGCCTGGCGCCTAGCGATACAGTCCCCTGTTCCCCGATACCCGATGATGAAGCCCGTGGCTGTAGTTCGTAACATTACGTTACGTCACCTACACTTCTAGGCGCCATCCCAATCATCAGAGGATTCGCCGCAGCGTTCCAACTGCTAAAATCCTCTCTCCTGCCCTTGCACAAGCCCTTATATCCTGCCATAGCCACAGCTTTCGGATCCTCCAAAGCGCCAGGACCAATCACGCTCATCATGATTGTCTCGCCGACGTGCGCGCGCGGGACGAACTGCGTGTGCACAGGGCCGGGCATGAGTTGCGTGTTGGTGATGCTGGGATAGGCGCGTAGTTCAACGGAGAGAGCTTCTGAGAAAGCGTTGACGTAGTGCTTGGTTGCGTGATAAATGTTTTGGCCGGGGGAAGCCATCCATCCTAGGATCCTTGGTTAGTACATGTTCACTGTGTTTATATCGGACGTGAGCTCCCCGCCAACGCTGGAGATCTGAAGCATCCATTTCCGACCCCGGTTTATCATATATCCGCTAAAGAGCTGCGAAAGCACAACCAGAATTGTGCAATTGAGTGTCGCCATGCCCTTCGCTAGCTCGATGGGTTGTTCGAAGGTGTCACCTGCGCCTCCTAGCGCTGCACCGTTCACCAGGACATCCACGACGAAGCCTTTCTCGGTGACATGATCATAGAGCTTTTGGGCTGCTCCTGGGATGGAAAGATCGGAACTGATGGTGTTAGTCTTTCTCGCATACTTCTCCAAGATATTGTTCTTAACCGCTTCAAGTTGCTCCTCATTCCGTCCTCCTAGGATTAGATTGTGACCTTTCTCCACAAAGACGTAGCTGAGCTCTGCTCCGACACCGCTCGAGGCTCCGGTGATTCACACGAGACCCTGGGGTCGTTTAGGTCTAGGAAGGGAAAGGCGCAATGGTAGGAGGAAGGCCGCTGCCACCGGAAGAGTTAGCACAACCGGGAGATCGAAGAAGAAGACGGAGACTACGATAGTGACAAGCGCAAAGTAGGAGATGAGGTCAACGTTGATGTCATCGATTACTAGCCATGTAGGTTTGTAAACAGTTGGATTGCCGTTGTCGATTGCGCGATGGGAAAACTGTTGATCGCCATTGTATTCGATAGATACACGAGCATCTGCCATGATGATTGGTGGATGCGGTTTAGTCTTGATGAATTATGATTAAACTAGGTCATAAGGTGCGGCCAGAGAAGGTTGTGAGAGTGAGGGGCGTAAGAGGTGCGGTTGCAAAGGAAGCCAGCACCATTGCAACTGCTTTGCACAACAGTGTTGTAAGTGGCAGCACAAGCTGTGAATCACGTGTCAAACTGACGTGGAACTGACGTATTATTTACTCTCCAAATCAATTTGCTGTCAGGACGCAGACACAGAAAAGCTTAAGGCCGCTGTTCGTGCGGATATGACATATGACAACTATGGGGTGGCTCAAGACAGATCATGTCAGAAAAGTATTGGCATTAAGATAATTTAGCTTTAAGCGAACATGATAGGACAGCTAACGTCTGTTGATAGGCTTGAAGAAGGGGGTAGCAGGCCGTAGCTCACGAAGCAGCATTCCAGTCCACCAATGCATCATCACCGACCTTGTCCTTGATCATCCGGGTGCTCAGATCCCATAAGGCAGCACCTAGAGCCAGACCAGGGGCTTGCTTCTTCTCCTTACCAGACTGGCCAGGATCATGGAAGTAGTAGCCATTCCAGCCTTTCTCCTCGATCTCAGGACTAGTGGCAGCGTACAACGCGCAGTAAGAACCTTGCTCATCGTCGCGTCCACCAGCGAGCATAATAGCGGTCACCATCTTGCCGAATAGACCGGGATAAGCATCTTTGCACCTGTTGTCACGGTGTAGGTCAGCAAATGCGCACAATGACCACCGATATTGGGGATACGTACTGTTGCTGCATGGCGGTATTTACCTGAGGCCATGATTAGCAATAGCTGTTACATCAAACCAGAGGTGCGTCGCTTACCGCACCTGGATGATTCGAGAGGGCGTACATGTTGTCATCGTTCGGCTTTATGATCCGATGGAGCAGACCGTACTTGACGCCGAGGATGATGGCCAGCTTCGTCCTGCCGTACACTTCCAGGTTGCCGATCTTCGGGCTGTTGATCTCATCAAGCGAACCAAAATGTACTACCGAAGGAGCCGCGCGATGCTGCTCTGATGACTCGAATACGATACGGGGTGCAGGCGTATCAGGCATTTTCGATGTCTTCCGAAGCAGGGGGTACAGCAGGCTGACCACATAAGTCTTGATATAGATTTAATTCACAAAAAACGTGTTTCTACACCTACTCGCGCTGCTACGGTCTATACCGTCCCTCGTACGACGCTCCGGCGCCGCCTCGCCATTAGCCACACAAAAACCTACAATGCGAACAGTGCCGTCGACTTCGCTAGGGGGGGCAGCGGTTCCAGCGGCGGTCCGAGTGAGTATGACAGAAAAGGAAAGCTCGTGTAGGATGGGGCATTGGGGTTAGATAGTGTTGAAGAAGGCAGCGGCCGGCTGGTGGGTGCAGGACCGTATATGCGCGTATAGGTAATTAACGCGTTACTAGAACACTATCTAGTAAATCCGCGCATAATCATATTGTCAATCACGACTCGTGTAATAATATAGTAGTAACAAATCAAGCTAACTTCTAGGCCTTGAACTTACGCCTAGAGCTATGCGCGGTATCGTTCATCTTTCTACCATATGACATCATCTCCAGACTGATCTTGTAGTCGTTAGTGCCGTTGGTGGGATCCGCGTCCTCAGGTGTGCATTCGCTCTCTACCGGGGCAGTGCCATGCTCGCCACCAATGCGCTTGAACTTCTGCTTGCCATCATCATCCGCCTTGAGCATGTTCTCAGCCGCGTCGGCGAACCAGCCGTTGATAAAGTCGCCGTGCATGCAGTACCCTTCACCGACAGTATCACTGCAGGAGAGCTGGAGAGGAGCAGTACCAGACCAGCCATCAGGGAGGACCTTGCGGAGGTCGTAGCGGACGGAGAATCTGAGCTGGGGTATGCGGAACATACCATCGGGACAATAGTTATCATTACCCCATTCGGCAGTGGAGTACTCGGATTTCAGAGTCTCCGGGCTGTAGCAGTCAGGAAATCGGAGCTGTACCTGAAGATGGGTAGAGCAGGTCTTCGTGGGGAACTTGGCTAGATCTTTCTCCTCGGTGAGCTCTTCCTCGCACCACCACTCAAGTAGATTGGCCTTGTGGTCAGCTGCTGCCTGGGTTTGTGCCGATGCATTGCCGGCGATCAGACCAGTGTCCGCGGGAAATGGAACTTCGGCATAGCCACTGTTCTGATAGTAGGAGCTGAAGCGGTAGATGGGTACTTCAATGCGTTCCTCGTCTTTGATGTAGTAGAGTGTTGGGATCCCTTCTAGTTATTAGTGGCTACGTCGGACTCCACTCATTGTTGCAACATACAGTATACTGAGAGGTCGTTGGGATTCTCACCCGAGTAGCATCCTTTTTGAAGCTCAGCACTAGTTGGCTTCACATTGGTAATGACATCGCTTCCGAAGAAAGTATGCATGTGACTAGTGTAAGTTCCTGGAACTACCAAGGCGTCAACATTCTTATTCATGAAAGGCTTGTGGTTGATAACAGTGTAGGCAGATACAGCACTTGTGCCTGTAAGAAGAAAGAATACAAAGCGCATATTTACAGCCGAAAAGAGTGTCGTGATTACACATCAAAGTCGAAAAAGGATGGATATGTAAAGACTGAAAGAAAGAATAACAATAAACAGGACTCAGATGACAACGAGTGTTCACGAAAGGAAGTATCTAGAATGCCGGCAGCACCACACACTGCAGTTTCTATATTTCGAGCTCTCTCCTATAGCGCGATCGGAAATGAATTTCGCCGCTGATAAGGGTGCTCGTAAAGGCCCGCAACGCTCATTAGAGGGGTGTTTTATTGTTTCAGAAATATCAAGGGTGTTGATTTTCTGTACTCCTCTCGAGCGCAAAATTTTGGAAATCAAGTCCACATACATAATTGTGCGCGCTTCCCACAGAAGTAGTTTGGAGTCTTAGTGCTAGAAGCACAACCAGAGGATTACTATGCATGCTCCAATGGTCTCGCATCGAAGGTTCGGTCGAAAATTAGTTCACCGTCTAGTACCAGAACCGGGGAAGATGCGCTTTCCCGAGATCTACAGCGATCGGTCCGTGCGTAGTACCCCTCATCAAGCGGCAAGCCCGGTCCCTAAGCGCCGAAAGCACGGCAAGAAATATATCGTGAGTGGGAGCTGGCCGAGTATGGCCCGCTATGTAATTAAAGTATAGAACATGCTCTTTCGTGAGAGGCCGAGCTTTCGAACAACAGCTTCAAATCCATGGGGCAGACCAGGGTACATATCTATCTCTGTCCTTCTACTGTGGGTACGCAAGGCCTTTTCGAAGATTAGGCCGTCATCCCGAAGGGGGTCCTTGCCTGCAACTTTTATGTAGATTGGCGGCATCCCCTTGTGCAGGTCGTTGGCCTGGAAAGGAAAAAAGTCTAGCGAGTATCTGTCATCACGCAAGGCTTTGGAGATGTATTCCATGGCGTTCTGGTTGAAAACCAGAGCTGCGGCATTCTGCTCTCTAGCGAGGTAGAGGCTCCGGTACTACATCGGCACAATCTCTTTCTCCAAGACGTACAGGATGCTCGCCCATGCACCCATCAGTGGGAGCTGAAACTTCTCGAAAACCCACCGCTGCGCCGTGACGGCAGAAGAATTGCCACCGACGTAGAAGCTAAGGGGGAGGTCTCGTTCAAGCTCCTTGACATGGATGTCCTGGCTCAGCCACTTGACAGAATCCAACAAGTCTTGGGGCGCGGTAGAGAACTTGTGCTCAAGCGTAAGACGGTACGACGGGCTGACGACGGTGAGGTTGTGGAGAATCGCGATAGGTCATGACAGATAGCTGAGGGAGAAGTTTTTCCCGAAGCAGAAACCGCCACCGTGAATGAGGACGAACATTCTTCGGGGAGCAGCCGACTTGCTGGCAGTCTGATGAACACGAATCTCGCTCTGATGTCTATCCCGCATCAGGATAAACTTTGTGTACTCTATCTCTGTGGTCGGCGGGGTTGGAGGCGCGTTGAGCTTGAAATCCGCAACTACGGCGGAGAACGGAGGGTTAGGAAGATAGCCAATCTTAGCCAGGAACTGTTCTCAGGTCAGCCAGCGGTTGAGGGATGCAGCCAATCTATCACCTAACCTCTTCAAACTCGGGACTGGTCACAACGCGGTAGTTGATAAGATGAGCTTCTCCAGCATAATCCTGTATAAGCCGAGGATAGCCTACTGCGTATTCCCAAGTGCCAGAACAGCTTCTCTGGTGTCGTAATCAGACATGGTGCAAGTGTTAGGAGAAGAGACTTGATTGGCAAGTTTGGTTACGGTACACTGATGGCGGCTCACTTTCATACTAACCCAACAGGCCAACGTCTTGATTCTAAGAATAATTCAACGCGTTGAACTCTTCTTTTCAAAACCCGAAAGATGACATCGGGCCAATGCCAAAGTCCGTGGAAACGTGAGAGCCGCCGTCCCGGGTCTGCCCAACACCCGGTGTCACCACTACATAAGTTGCTCGCGAGCCCATTTGTTTAGATGGCACTGTGATAGGACGACTGCGCTCAGGGCTAGGACCATGAAGACGCGAAAGAAGTCTGGGTGTCCATGGCGGCGAAGGAAGGCTCATGCAGGATGGAGTATTGCGGCTACATGGTGTCGAAGAAGGTAGCGGTCGTTTGGTGGGTAAAGGGTGCGTACAGCGACACACATACGATTAATAAGTTATCTACGTAGAGTTCGATAAGGTTAATCCGACTTGGCTTGATACGGCCAGCTAGCGGGTCCACGACCCTGTGCACTCTGCATTCCGGGACTTTTACCTCCCCTCACCTTTTTAAGGGTAGTAGAAGTCACATTCAGAAAGGTTTCCAGCCCGCCATAGATAGCCTCACATACCTCACTACTTTTGTTCTCCATCTCGTCCACGGCAGTCTTAACAATGTCCTCCGTCTGCTCCTTGAACTTGCATAGTTTGTCGTCGACCACTTCACCCAGTTCCCGGATACAATCCTCCTTGATGATATCGACGTTGATCTTATGGTCTGCGATGACATCTTCGAACTCTCCGTCAGCCTGGTTGCGGAGGCTGTACGCTTGGTCATTCGCCTCATCGAAGATGGTGGTTAAGTGATGCTTGGCGAGCTCGGTTAAACGGTCGGTTATGAGGTTCCCTAGGGAAGATGAGACAGGTCTGGGAGGCAAAGCGGTTGCTGGCGGAGGCGAAAGGGATGGCGATCTTTGAGGGACTAAGGAAGTGTGAATGATATCTGGCAATATACTTTTGAGGATGCCGGGTAGCATGCCCTCGACGACTGCAGGAAGCTGGGCCTCGACAGCCCTGTTGATCGCGTTTTGAAAGGCAAGCGCGGCGGTGGCCTCCAGCGATATGCTTGGATAGCTGGGTGACGCTGTTGCCTTTTCCAATGGCGAACCAACAGGTGTATGAGGGGGGCTGGGCGTCGCTGTCGCGACTTCGGTTGGAGAGCCAGGATCGTACTGCTGGCGTTTAGGAGCCGGCGATGTGGACAGCGAGTGTGTGGTGGCTACGTGGAGTGTGTTAACAGTGATCGGCTAGATGGTTGATGCACGAGGTGACTTACTGTGCCTGGATCGCTTTCGCGATGCATTGGTGTCGACCGCGTTCGCGTACGAAGGTGGGGGCGCGTCCTGTTCTTCGATGGTACTGAAAACTGCCCAATCTGCATACCTGTATCCATCATTGCCATCTGGAAAACCAGCGAACACGTTCGGCTGCCTAACGAAGCACTCGAGTGGTTCACGATTATCAGCGTGTACCCAATTGTAGTCGAGTGTTATATCAATCTCCGACGCTATGGCGAGCTTAACTAGCCGGTGGAAGGGAGCTTCATAGCCACTCTTCGACGTCAGGGTACCAGACGACAGAGGGCACCGGATCCTGCATGGCTTCGCAAGTGTGAGAGTCAAGACTCTTATTTGTGGGTTCCCGGCGCGCGCAATCGAAGTCAGCTGGTCGTGTGGAAGGGCCGTGGTCGCAGTCTTGAGTGATGTTGCGCCGTGCGTCAGGATATCAGCATCATAGATCAAAGTGAAGGTCTGCTCATCATCAAAGCCATCAATGAAAGTAGTGTATTGGAGATAGAAGCTGATCTGCAATGGCTCCTCGCAGTACTTTGCGACTAAAACACAACACGACTGTGCAGCACCTTCCACCCTCGCGCTTGCCAACACAGGGACACCTTTCTTGGAGACAAGATAGCGGGCCATTGTGCAAAAATATCACTCACAAAAGATATCCCCCTTGCAGCAATGCGACAGCAAGGGAAACCCACCCACCCGGGCTTCGGACGCGTTGTGCGCGGAGAGCAGCCCTGACTCTGTGGTGGATGTATGTTGAAATAGTGCTGACTTCAAGATAGGCGCCGTGCCGGCTCGTGAACTGCTGTCCCCACTGTGTGCGCGCAACCCGCGACTGCTTGAGAATCACCCCTTCGACGCGTGAGTCGCCGGCGCGTGGGCTGTTGGCCGACAACGCTGTGCGCACGTCAAAGGTCCTGGTAGGATGGCGAACTGAGGCAAGACGACGGATGGACGAAGACGAGAAGGTGGAGAGCAGCTGACGAGGAACAGTGGCTTCGGTCGGCGGCGTGGATCAGAGAATGTTGGCATGCGTAGGGACGCTGACTATGGTGGAGGTCGTGATAGTTGGCGTGTCAAGCGTGTCGGTGGCGAACGCGGCAGCCTGCGGAGCCGGGTTTTCTCAAGTTCCGACTTTGCACCGCCCTACAACTCCACAACAAACCCGTTACAATCACAACTTGAAGTGTGAGTGACAGTACAGCATCCAGACGATGCATATAGCCATTCTTCCACAACATCAGGTCGCATTGGAAGCAAGTACTGCGAGCCTGGACAACATGTCTATACCTTGCTTTACTTTAGCCTGTGACGAATCTTCCTCTTTCCCTGTGCTCTCTGCTCTCACATGAGTGCTTCAGCCGATCGTAGATGATGCTTTCGTCAAGGAACCCTAGTTGCAGAGCATCGCGCGTTATGGGGTAGGCTAAGGTATCGCCGCACGTGTCCCGGCGCAGAGGTCGTGATCTCCGCTGTCGCGCTAGTCGCGTCTAATTTTGCTCTCACCAATTGCGCCGGACTTACTATCGCGTCCATTCCAGCCCACCTCATGCCTGTCTAACACCATTTTCTGCGTCAAAGTGACTGATTGCGACACCTTTAAAAGCGTCCAATACCCGCATCGTCGCCGAACCGATATGGACGACTTCAATGATGCAACCCACCGGTTCCTGGCTTGGTTCAAGGCCGGTGGTGGCAAATTCCAAGACGACTTGCTCGAAATACAAGACCTGAGAGCTAGGGATGCGGGTCGTGGGATAAGTGGGTTCTCCCTACGTTCTGCAACAACCTGGAAATTGACAGCATGCAGTCGCAAGAAAGGATATACCGGAAGACACGACGCTATTTACTATACCTAGAGACTTGATCATTAGTGTTCAGACGTCTGAACTTCCTCAGAAACTACCAAAAATCTTTGATACTCTTACTGATGGTGAAGCCGATGATGAGAAAGAACCACTCGACTCATGGACATCTCTCATATTGGTCATGATGTACGAGTACCTACAGGGCGATGCATCGAAGTGGAAGCCCTATCTCGACGTTCTACCAACGGCTTTCGATACTCCCATCTTCTGGTCCGAGTCGGAACTGAAAGAGCTGCAGGGGACTTGTCTATCAACAGAAAAGATCGGGAAGGAACAAAGTGATGATATGCTACGATCACAAGTTGTACCCGTCGTTCAGCAGAACCTCGAAGTCTTCTATCCTGACGGAGCCCGTAAGTTGAGCGATGAAGAACTCCTTGGACTTGCGCATCGCATGGGTAGCACCATCATGTCGTACGCGTTTGACCTTGCCAACGAGCACGAAGAGGAAGATGAGGAAGAAGATGGTTGGGTTGAAGACCGAGAAGGCACGACGCCTCTTGGGATGGTACCAATGGCAGACATACTCAATGCCAATGCCGAGTTCAATGCGCATGTGAACCACGGCGACAGCCTTGAAGTCACGTCCCTCCGATCATCACTGCCAGCTGGGTCCGAGGTCTTGAACTACTATGGTCCCTTGCCGACATCCGAGCTACTTCGTCGCTATGGATATGTGACACCTGAACACCACCGATATGATGTAGCCGAACTACCATGGAGCCTTGTTCGCCAAGCGCTCATCCAAGAGCTTGAAATCCCTGAGGAGGTTGTTGCAAAGATTGAGGTAGGAAGAGACACTAAGTAACAACCTCAAGATGCATATACTGACAGTGAGTTAGGAAAAACTAGAGGAGAACGAGGAGCTGGAAGAATATTTCATCATCGAACGCGATTCCGGCGAACCGAACTCAGAAGGTCAGCTAACGCATGTAGCCCAACTCCGGGAGGTTTCGCAAGAGCTGGAAGAACAATTGAAGACTGTTCTCAAAGCTATCAAAAAGCACAGCCCCGAACTCATCCCGGAGAAGCGGAAGCGGGAGGATATCTTCAAAACTCTTGTAACGAAGGCTTTGACCGCCAAGCTAGCGCAATATCTGACATCCGTGGAGGAGGACGAGAAGCTGCTGAAGGAAGACAGCCTGGAGAAGAGGTGTCGCATGGCTATTGAGGTCAGATTAGGCGAGAAGAGACTGCTTCGGGAAGCATTAGCTTTGCTAGATGGTAGCCAGGAGAATACCGAGGAGCAGGCTGGGAAGAAGGCGAGGCAAAGGGAATGATGTAGGTAGCCACGGATACGCTGTAGGGGCAAGCGGGCTTATACATCGGCATGCAATCAATGCTCGAATTATGAAAGAATTTGTGGCCACACAGGCATCAACCCGTCACTAGCATGCTGCTGACAGCACCGGCCGTGAGCTAGGAAACGCATTCCATTCAAGCAGTCTTGTTCAGCTGACTCAAGCTACATGGCACTTAGTCAAGTATGTTATGTTTGCTAATGTGATTGAAGCTCGTGCGAGACCTACTAGCCGCGCTCGACGATGAAAACAGAAATATCTACCAAACGAGGGATACTCGATTGATTCCATGTCATATCATACATTTCAAATCCCGCGGCGTTCGGCCGTCATCTAGCACGTCCCCCGTCATCGCGTCCGTCTTTCGAGGTTGCTGGAGCAACTGGTCGACGGCGAGGAGATCCTCAAGAAGCACTGTCTCTGTAGTGCTTCGCTCATTCTGCTACCAGGTCACTTTCCCGTCCTGTAGTGTCCTGCCTGATAGGTTGCTCGTCACTCGGATGTGTCGATTTCTTGGCTCTGCCGTACGTCTTGCCACTCTCAAACGTCTTGCAAATATTTCAAGTCTTGCGTGTCTTGGGGGTCTTGCGTGTCATGGACACAGTTGCCAACAAGCAAGTCAAGCAAGTCACTGCCTCAAACTTGACTTGCTTGGTTAGAGAGTAGGCGTAACTTGACTTGCTTGGGAGCAATTTGTTGCTTGCTTGACTTGCTTGGTTTGCTTCTAAGTACTTGATTTACTTGACTGCTAAGGGACTAAACACTACTACATTACTAAGCTAACTGTCCTACTTAAGTATATTGTAATTATCTAAAAGTTCCTTGTCTAAAAGCTTAGCCTCACTATAAATAGTTAGTTTATAGCCAGCTCGCACCTAGGATCTTACCAGTTGAAGAGCTGCGAGTAGCTTACTGCCTAGAGCTCGTCGCTTTGGCTCAAGTAGGTCGCTAAGCTCGCTAAAGAGGCGCTCGCAGTCGCTGCTCAATGCTAGGATAGTTATAATATCAATAGCAAACTGCGCTAAATGCGGGTATTTTAGCAGTAATTGAATCTAGTATTAGACTAGATTGCTATTCGCTGTATACTGCTCCTGCGTCCACTGCGGCTCCTGCATTTTCCAGCGCTCAAACTCGTCTAGCAGAGCTTCTTAGCCAACGTTTCTGCTAAGTATAGCGCTAATTGCCTCGTCTATATTGTTGCTACTCGTTACAGCCGTGTACGGCTAGCGTAGGCGCTAAGGTTTGTACGCCGCCCAGAGCTGCTAAAACGCCACGTTAGCACTGCTAAGCCACCCAGCTTTGTCAGCCCAGGCTACATCGCAGTAAGTTTTATAGTACGGGTAGAGGTACACGGCAGCGTAGTAGGCGGGCGAGGCGTCGAGCTTGTTATAGTAGTCGTTAGCCTTAGCCCATGCGGTAAGGAGGTTGACCTTAAGGTAATCCTTAGGGGCCTCTAGGTGAGCGTTGAAATCGACCTGCTTAAATAGGCGTGCCTAGTCCTCAAGCTAGCTGAGTACATACTCAAAAACTGGTATAACCTCATATATTGCCCTAAATTTGCCATCTTTGCTGCGGCCCTCGAGCTGTTTTGTAGCGTACTTGAGCGGCGTTAAGCAGTCCTGATACTCTGCAATTACTGCCTAATTAGCAGCTCGCAGGCTAGTTAATCTTATCTAGCTTAGAGCTTCGGGCCGCTTATTGTTCTGCTTATTAGCGTGCGCGTCTTCGAGGATAATCCTATTAATGTAATGCTCAGCGTACAAGTTATAAGCAGCCAAAAGCTTAGTAGCTCGCTTAAAAGCGGCATAGTAGGAGTTCTAGCGAGTAACAATAGGCTTAACAGGCTCAAGTACTTTAAGACGCTCCTTGGTAGGCAGGTTGTCGTTAGCGCGGCGCTAGAAACTGCGAAAAAGCTCGTACTGCTGCGGCGTTTTAATATAGTTGATAACGTTAACTAGGACGCCTATAGGGCCATCTTTCCGCCACTCTCGCATGTACTGCTCCTTAGTACTGTACTGCTCTTAAGTGTTACCGTAGGCGTCCTTATTGTTACTAAATATAATAGCCTAGCTAATTAGGTTAAGCGTGTAGCAACTGCAGCGGAGGCGCTAGTAAGCTAGGTCGAAGTTGTACTCGCGGGCGAGCGCGGCGATTGCAGTGTCGTTATTAGCGGCGTTATCTAGTACAAAGTAACCTAATTAGTTACTAGTTACTCTGTAAGCTAAGAGGGTTATCAAGATAGCTTTAGCAATAGCCTCACCAGTGTAGGCGCTAGCGAGCTCAGGTAGGTTAATAGGCAGGTCTTGTATTATTCTAGCTGCGTTAGCAAAGTAAGCGACTACTCTAAAAAAGCCACGTTTACTACCTTTTGTCGTCTAGCCGTTAAAGCTTACATGTATCTTGCTTACTGCGCTTAATAAGGCGTCGACAACCTGCAGTTGTATAGACCTAAACAACCTCATTACAAATGTAGAAACACTCGTGTAACTTACCCACAATGCCGCCTCTGCCTCTAGGTTAGCAAACCTTATTATCTCTCTAAAATTAGGCGCTGTAAGCTCACTAAGAGGCTGGTTTTAGTTAACGAGCCACTGTCACGAGATGCTACGAGCACGTGTTTAAGAGCTTACTAGAAGCGTTAGTTGTGGCTACGTACGATATCTGGTGTAATACAAGACGTTGCGTAAGGAAACAGAATCAGCATGTACAGGCGGTGAGAAGTTATCGATGGGGGCCGTGCGCATGGCGCTAGGCCCGGCCGGTAATCAGCAGAATCCTGGTGCTTGGCGGAGCACTCGGATTCTGTAGCGCGTTCAGTGTCAAGGGAACCACGGTGGTTACCGTGACAGTACCCCCCTCTTATTCTCGAGCTCCTGCGAGCGTCGATCGTGACGATAAAGGTTCAGGGATATCAGGAAATCTTTCGTGGAAAGCAGCCACAGCTGCGTTATCCTTCAGGTTCAAGGCGGGTTCCCAGGTCAACTCATTGTAACCAGTCCATTTTACATAGTACTCGTGTCTCTTTCTACGCTTGTTAAAGCGGAGACCTTCGACGCTATCCACAAAGTATTCTTCTTCGTTATCTACAACGACAGGTTCGGGTGGCGTGCATTCTGGCCAGGTATGTGATCGTCTTCTTTGGCTGCTAGACGAAGGAGGGATACATGAAATACAGGGTGTATCTTCATAGATTCAGGTAGATGGAGGCGGTACGCATGGGAGGAGACCTTCTTGGTTATTCGGTAGGGTCCCAGGTTCTTCCAGTCGAGCTTCTTTGATGGTCGTTGTGTTCGGATGTTACGCGCATCTAGCCATACCTCGTCGCCAGCTTCGTAAGCTGGTGCAGGTAGGCGTTTACGGTTCGCGTATTCTTGCTGCAGGGCTTGCGCCCATGTCATTTCTTCGCGGATAAACTCAGTGATATCACGCATCTTATCGATCATCACATTCACATCCCGGGCTTGTAGGGCCTGGTAGGCGGGACGTGTCTTGTTCGTGGGCGGTTCAAAACCCATTCGGGGGTTCTGGCCGTAGCAGGCCATCATCGGAGATACTCCTGTGGATTCCGAAACGGTGTTGTTAGCTTCGAATTGAGCGATAGGGAGCCACTGGACCCAGTCGTCTTGCTGGTAGTTCGTGTACGCGCGTAGGACTTGTTCCATCGCAGCGTTAGCGTTCTCGGTTTGCCCGTCAGTTTCGGGATGATAGCCAGTTGAAAAGCGTGGGTCAATCTTTAGCTGGCTACATAGTTCGTCATGGAAGGCAGAGACGAACTGTCTGCCTCTATCGGAGACAATCGTGTCGGGAAGGCCGTGGTTGCACCAGACGTGGCGAAGAAACATGCGCGCTACGTCGGTGCTTCCATCTTGCTACATGGTATAGGTAGCGGTATTTGGACAAACGGTCCACTACCACCATCACGTTCTTGTATCCTTCTGACTCAGGTAGGTCGACCACGAAGTCGACGGAGATATCTGCCCAACGTCGTTCAGGAACGGGCAATGGCTTTAATAACCCGTGGTACTTCTCTCGCGACGCTTTAGAGCGGCGGCAGGTGTGGCAGCAGGATACGTATCGTCGGACGGTCTCGAACAGCCGAGGCCAGTAGTATTCCCGTTGGATAAGTTCGAGTGTCTTTCCTCGGCCTGGGTGGCCGCCAGAGGGAGCATCATGGACTGCACGGAGGATCTTGATTTTTAGTTCGTCGTCGTCAGGAATAACGAGCTTGTTCCGGTAGTATAGACGGCCGTCGCGGTTCTCACAGTCGCTTAGGGTGACGGTCTTTGACCGTCGTACCTCGTGCAGCAGTTGCAGAGTTTCTTGTATAAACGGGTCCTTGGGGTAACGTTAGGTGCTAACTGGTATCCTTCTTCGATAATCTGTTGGATAGATCTATCGGTCTCTACTAACCCAATCATGGGAGGATTCTGAAAGAGTTCTGGGCGCAGCAACGTTTGCTTGCGAGCTTCTCGGGCTTCCTCTTGTGCAAGCTGGTCTTGCGAACGTCGGGTTAAGGCATCAGGCTTCTCGCCATGCTTGCCTGGTCGGTACGTAATCGTAAACTGGAATCGGGAGAGGTATTCGGACCATCGAGCCTGACGGTGGCTCAGTTGCTTCGTAGTTGCGAAGTACTGTAGGTTCTTGTGATCGCTAAGTACAGCAATTGGGAAGGACGCGCCCTCTAGCTCAGGTCTCCACTGTTCAAAGCAACGGACGATAGCGAGTAGTTCCTTATCGTAGATTTCGTAGTTGTTTTCCGCAGGGTTCATCCTCTTCGAGTAGTAGGCTACAGGGCGAAGCGTACCGTCGGGTTCTGTCTGGGAGAGGACACCTGCCGTGACGTAGTCGGAAGCGTCTGCTTCTACGATGATCGGAGGTCAGGATCAAAGTGTCGCAGTATCGGTCGCAGTAGTGAAGGCGCGTTTTAAGGCATTAAAGGCCTTCTGGCAGTCGTCGTTAAAGAGAAACTTAGCGTCCTTCTTAGTTAATGCTACAAGCGGAGCGGCTAGGTAGGAGAAGCTATCTATAAACCGTCGATAGAAGTTCGCAAATCCTAGAAAGGCTCTAACGTCCTTGACGTTGTTTGGGTATTCCCAATCCACGATGGCTTGAACCTTCTTCGGGTCCATTCGTATTCCATCTACTCCAACTACGTAGCCAAGGTAAGTGACTTCAGTTTGGTGGAACTCGCACTTGTCTACGTCTAGTTGGAGCCCAGCTTCCTTAAGAGCGTTCAGAACAGATCTAACGTGCTCCTTGTGTTCGTGGAGGGTCTCGCTATAGATCAGGATATCGTCGAGGTAAGCGGTGCAGAATATGTCTAAGAACGGGCGTAGCACGTCGTTCACGAAGTGCTGGAACGTACTTGGCGCGTTGGCTAGTCCAAAGGGCATTACGAGATATTCAAATAGCCCATATCGGGTACGGAAGGCTGTCAGCCATTCGTCTCCTTCAGCGATGCGGAGTCGGTTGAAGGCAGCGATAATGTCAAGCTTTGTGTAGTACTTAGCCTTGCTTAGTCGGCTTAGGGTCTCTTGGATCAGCGGGATTGGGTAACGGTTCTTGACGGTAACTGCGTTCAAGGCACGGTAGTCGACGCAGAAGCGTAATCCGCCTCCCAGGTTTCTTGACAAAGATAACAGGAGAAGCGACTGGAGAGGAGCTTGCTCGGATAAACCCCTTCGACAGGTGGTCTTCGAGGTACTTGCGCAGTACCTTTAGCTCGTCTTGGGACATGCCGTATAACAGGCCGAACCCGTGTTGCTTGCCTTTTATCAGTTCGATCTTGTGGTCGTATGGTCGTCGTACGGGCAATTTGTCGGAGTTCTCTCGCGAGAAGACGTCTATTAGGTCGTGGTACTCAGGAGGGACTTTCGTGAGTGGATCGGTGTGCTTCTTTACAGCTAGTGCCTTATCAATGTCAGCAATACTAACAGCACAGATTTCGTAGCCTCTTCTACGCGCCAGGCTCATGAATGGGGCCGCGCCTATGCAATAGATATTAAGTTTCGGCTGTGACTTTAACGAGTCGTCCTGGTCGTTGGTTAAAAGAGTGCAGTCAGAGTCGGAGTCGTAGGTGGGTTCGTGTATAGGTTCGTTTAATTGGCGCTTCATCTTAGGTAGCCAATGATCGTGTCGTTGTCGTAGTACGTGTTTGAGTTTCGGGGTTCGGGAGTGAGTTCTATTAGAGCTGTTGTTGCCCCACTGTCCTTGGGGAGTAGGAGCAGAGGTACGGCTAACTCTAAGGCATCGTTCGGTGCATCTTCGGGCAGTAAAAAGCAGCTTCTCATTAGCATAGTCTAAGTTTACTCGATGCTTGTTCATCCATGGTTGGCCAAGTATTATCTCGTGGCGGCCAGTGTTAGTAACGTAGAGTCGTATAATCTCTACGTGGTTGTCGTATTGTAATCTTAGAGTGACGGTGTGAGACACTTCTCCACCGTCAAGTACGGTTCCGGTAAATCCAGTGGGATAGATAACGTAGGGCAGCAGGGTTTGACGAAGGTTCAGGTTGCGCGCGAGGTCTCTGTGAATGTATCCAATACCAGTAGCTCCAGTATCAACTAAGGCCTTAAGATTACTTCTAGTGTTGCCTTGTTGGACTGTGCAGGGTATCACGATACAGCGTTTCCATGTGTCGGTTTGGGATTCAGACCAGAGTTCAGCAGAGATTCGGTGTATGCGCGGTCCCGGGGAGCGACTTATCCTCGGGACGAGGCTTTTCCCTTTCGGGACCGGTTGCGAGAGCGTCTCTCTCGAGATCCTGAGGATCGGGAAGATCTTGAGGTATCGGATCCTGCGGAGCGAGTACGGATCCGGTTATTCGTGCTATGCGATCGGATATGCTGAGCAGGTAAGGGGACACTGCAGTTGCTGGATATATGGCCTTTCTGGTTACATTTAAAGCAGCGGCCTTCCTTAATTCTCTTCTGGCGTTCAGCCGAGCCAGCGGGTGCGTAGTTCATCACGTCTATATCCATTACGTCAGGGTGTGCTACAGGGAGACGGCGTGGGCGGTCTGGTAGGAAGCGGAGGTTGTTGTCGTAAGTAGATATGAGATTGGCGTAGTCGTTTAGATCGTTAGGCAGGGCTTCTCCAACCATTGCGCGTTGCAATTCGTGGGACAGGGAGTTTCGGAGGGAAGCAATGAGACCGATCTCATTCAATCCAGTATCAGCGGCTAGTCGTCGGAACTCGGCGAAGTGGGAAGTAAAGCTGCGCTTCCCTTGACGTAATCCGCTTAGTCGGCTAAGTGCTGTCAGCTCTTTGTTCGGGTCTCCGTAGGTGGCTTCAAGGAAGGTAACAAGCTGGTCTACAGTATGGACGTCCTTGTCCATAAGCGGGTCAATAAGGGCTACAGCGTCCTTCTCCAGTCGAGAGAGTGGGCATATAGCAGGCGGGATCTCTCGTTCGGGTATCGGTCAGCGTTACCCTCGAGCTTGTACCTTAGCTTGCGGACGAAGGCGGGGAGGTCCTTTCGTCGGCCATTGAACAAAGGCGGTCAGGCAGGCGGTCGGTTCGGGGCAGGTCCTTGAGGCTCGCAGTTGGCGGCGTCACAGGCTTCAAGCCA